ATCAGATCTGTTCAACAGACTGTATACATTACTATACATTACTATAGTAACATATAGTTACATGTAGTTACATATGCGTATATTTATGTATTTTCGATTTGTATTTTTTTGGTTCTGATGTGATTTATAATAAAAATATTTAAATTTGTAAATTTTTGTTGGGGTTTTATGAATTTATTTTGTATAAGTCAGTATTCGTGTGTGTATACAATTGATCGACTAAAAATATAGGGAAAAAACGAACATAACTATGAATAACTATAGGTAGTTACATGTAGTTATTTTCAGTACTGTAAACATATTGTTTTGAAAATAAAAATAAAAAATAAAAAAAATAAAAAAATAATAATTTTTTTTATTTAAAAAAAATTAAAAAAAATATATATATATATTTATCAAACAAATTTACAAAAAAAAAAAATGAAAATAATAATAAATAAATCAGCGAAAATGATAAATGCAGGATCATAAATGCTGAATGCAGTTTGGCCAGAAATTGCACATAAGGGTAGTATAGTACTTTCGCTTGCCCAGGGGGTATGTCAAAGGATGATTTGGACTTGGTTTATCCCTAGTTTATTTGGTGGCTAGGGGGGTATGTAAAATAACCCTTTTTTTTTTTAATTTCTTGGAATAGTTAATTGGGGCGTATATGGTATTTTGTATTGATTGGACTTATGGCAAATATCAATTAAAATTAGATTTATTAAGAAGTCAAAATTCCACGAAGGGTGTTTATCAAATAGCCCCTTTTTTAAGATCTAATTTACTCATTTACTAAAACATTCAAAATAAACAATAAACCATCAAGTATTTTATTATAGGAAAAATTTGACAAAACGCCCTTATCACATAAGTGTAATTACAATGAGCTCAAATTTATTTCTTATTTTTAATATAAATCCAAAACAGTTTCCATGGCAGTTTGCTTCAATCCGATAGTTCGCCTCACGCTTCAAGAGGTAATCTTTGGGATCCGTTTTTAATTAGGTTTAAATTTAATTAGATTAAATTGAACGTCGTATGCTTTCATGAAATTGATTTTGTATGTTTTTACTTGATCGTTTTTTTGTGAAAATATTTATAAGAATATTATGATTCGTTGCGAGCATGCTATATGTTTTAATATCGAATTAATATGCATGTTGTTTTTAAATTTCGCTGGAAGTGTTAAGGTACGTAACTAATTGTTGTCTTTCGGGTATGTGTTTATATGAATAAAATTGTTTTTCATATAAAATTTTTGTTTTCCGCTGCGTACACGTGCCTGATTCTCAACAGAGACAACATAGAGTTATGAGGTGACATGGCTCCTCCAACATTTCTTAAATCACCTATAGCTCTTAATTGTCTCCACCACTTCCAAAAACTAATAGTCTGTTAAAACTCTATCGAAATAACGTATCCAATGCATTATCTCATTAGATGTTCTAACTATGTTTCAAGGGGGTGAATGTAATTACCGATACCACATGGACCTTACAGTTATTTTAGCATACCTCAGGGGTGTGTGTGTAATTTACCCTTTTATTAATTAAAGTTTGAGGAAAAATAAGTAAATGAACAAGAAAAGTAACGGTGTTAGTATTGCAGACGTTGACAATCACAAGGATCATTTTGGTACATTTTGTAATTTAGGGGGGTGTTTGTAACAGACCCTATAGTATAGGGGTGCAAACTATACTTTCCCCTTGTTATTTTCATACTCTTATTTCGTTTTTGTTGCCACTATTTTATTGTTGTAGTTTGTATTTATTTTCAATATTATTGTCTGTAACTTGAAGTTTGTTGTTGTAGTCCCTTGCATTTATTGTCATTTTTTATTTTCCCTTTTATCAATTGCATTTGGCACCTTAGCATTTTGGAATTTGCAGCTCGCTATTGCAAATTACTAATTTATTTTTCTTCTTTGAAATAATTGTGGAAGATGGAAGGTTGCATTTATTTTTTGGTTTGTTTCCTAAACTTGCATAAAAGTTAATTTGTTATGTTGTTGCAAAAATGTGTGTGATTTTTCTTTTTCTACATTATGTTGTTTCAAAATATATTTAGTGTTGCATATTGCATCTTGTTGCTGCAACTTTGAGCACTGTATTTTGCTTAATTATATGATGCAATTTGATATTGTAACATGCATTGATGCAAAACTATGCATATCATAATATATTTTTTTTGTTTGAACTTGCATTTTATTATTTTCACACATATAAGACTGAAGAAAACAAGCAAGAGATTCACTATTTGTTGATGTCAGTGACACAAACAAGTTTCTAGAAGACGTTATGAAGTTGTGAATTCAGTTGGACGCCGAAACTATGTCCATTATGATATCACCTCAGCCAAAATCAGTTAAGGTAGGTTGCAGTCAATTCATCGACTATATTGCTACACACCACTTCTTCCAACAATATTTGTTGAAAAAGACTGCAGAAAATAGGAATCATGAACTTCGAAAGTCTTTTTTTTCATTAATTCTTAATAACAATGGCATCGTTAAGTTTGATTAGACAATTGTAGCTATTGACTTATATCTTACAGTGTTTTATGTTTAATGTACTAATTTGTTACTAGACCAAAATTAGTTTGTTGGTGTTTGTTATAACATCTATTGTTTCATATTTTATATTTTAAACATATTTCATATTGTTAGAGGGAAAAAAACACTTGGAGTACGGCTGTTTGAGCATATCATCATTGGTTCTATGTTGTTGTAAAGGCATTTGTAAAATAATATTTTACACCTAACCTAGGTGGTTCCGTATTCTATTTCTTTTACTATTTATTTTTGTTGTTTATTTTGTAATTACAAATTGCAGTTTATTTATCTTTTCTTTTATATTTGGCAAATTTTTATTTCAGTTTGTATGTTGCTAATTGTGTTTTGTATTTTGCTGTCACAACTTGCATTTTGCTATTACAGTTGGAAAAATATAAAATTTAGTAACTTAAAATAATGGGATATTAAAACATAATGTCAAAAAATATGCAAATAAATGTCGTTCATGAAATCACATCGAGAAAATGTAACAATTAAATACCCATACCAAGTGAGATCAAGTGCAAATAAGGACCCAAAAAATTTCAACATTAGGACTTCCAAACTAGAATCTTCACATAAACATACTGACAAACGTAATGCAAACTTTCTTCACTATTCTCCAAAATCTTAAGTACCTACTTTCCACCGATATTTATGCTCGTATTTGTTGTTGTATATTGTTTTTTGTTGTTCATGATGTTTGATGTTTGCTATTTGCTATTATGTCTTGTTGGGTTATTTTAATAAAAACAATATATTTTATTATAAAATATAATAATAATTTTGATCACTTCTATGAGGGTTATTAGACCATTATTTTGAAACCTTCAAAGTCATTATTCTCCTACATAACACACCATAAATTCTATATTAAATTGAGGTTTTATGGGGGTCATATTATATACTATATAAAGGGGGCATTGTGAAATGTATGAGATAAGATAATACAAGAGAAGATAAAAGAAATACTTTTTTTATATACTATATATGTATATTTTGAGCGTTTGTTGTGTGTCGGGTGCTTCTGCTTCACTCGAACGTGCAATTTCGGTGAAGTTACAACGGAGAGATAAGTTGGGCTGTTGTATCCCACAGGCGACACGACACGGTTATAATCTTTCTGCACCTCATTAGAGAAGGGATCGTGAAATTCGTCTTAAGAGAGCGACCTAGTCCGCGCCTCACCTTACCTATCTCCATATTATTGTGTGTTGAATCGCAGCTAATTGTAATCTACAAATCGAGAGAACAAATAGATGACGAGCTTCAATCCGTCAATTATGTGATCAATCGTCAAAGTGCAGCCGTGGTTACAACATGTCTTTGAGATTTTGCAAAAATAAATTTTTTATTCACTCTATTTTCATGATTGCAATAAAATCTCAAATTAGCACTGTCACCACCGCTCGGACATCATCCACCAAAACTTATATCCTATCCAAAATCTACATGAATTAACCCCACTAAGCCAATCTATTGAAATTAAACACCCACAATAACTGTCGGTGACATACTGAACACACAAGAAAATAAAATCAAAACCCAAACAGCCTTATGTCGTGGTAAAAAAAAAAAAAAAAAAAAAAAAACACAAAACTACTTTCATATAATATGATTCATTGTTTGACGGTATAATTTTATGTCTGCATAGTTTCAATTTTATTTATTTTTATTTTAATTTTATTGATCAATTGACCTATATACTTGTATTAACCCAACAAAATAAATTTCCACATATATAAATTCTAAATAAAAGTTCAAACAAATTACATATAAGTGCTTATTGTGGTGGGGTATTAATAATGTGATTGTGAAGTAATTAATTGGGATCGATAGAAATGGTGGAGACACCGATGTTTATATGGGCATTTGTTTGTTGTACTGACTCACCAAACTGAGTCCCGACAAGACGCACCGATGCCGGAGAGTCCGTGACGGTGAAAGAAAGTGACAACACACACCAAACACTCATTTTCAACTATTATATTAAATATGTTTTAATTAATTTAATTCTTTCTTTCTTTCTTTCTTTTTTTTTTCTTTTTCATGGTAATTAATCTTGGTTCTTAGTACAAAGTACTAACCCCAATTCTTGCTGAACAAATTTGGGCTCTCACACAAGTAAGTACTACCCACAGATTACTTACCAACTTCGTATGCAGAGACCTTTTTTTTTTTTTTTTTTTTTTTTTTTTTTTTTTTCATTTTGGGCGTTGGATTTTTAAAGGTGGGGTTTGTTCATTTTTTTATTTTTTATTTAATTTTACTTTTTGTTGATTATAGGAAAAAGGGATGAGTCAAACATTCTTTTATTGTTTGCAGTTTTTTTTTTTTTTTACCTTTTCTCTTTGTCGGAGAAAAGAAAGCCAGGTGACTGCTAACTGAATCTCTGTATTACTCTCTCTCTCTCTAAATATATATAATATACGTATAAATATTATAGCAGGCCAGCTGAATTTCTTCAATTATTGAGAATTTGGGGTTTTAGATTTTACAAATCAATCGTTTAAATTCGTAAATCAAGAATCAGAAATCGAAGAATAAATTTATAAGAAATGGCGCATTTCGGAGAAATGGCGAATGTGGCCCAACTGGCGGGAATGGATGCAGCGAGCCTAATCGGGATGATAGTGAAAGCAGCAACAACTGCACGAATGCACAAGAAGAACTGCAGACAATTCGCTCTGCATTTGAAGCTGATCGGTAATTTGTTGGAGTCCCTTAGAATTTCCGAGCTCAAAAAATATCCGGAAACTCGAGAGCCGTTAGAGCAGCTCGAGGACGCTTTGAGGAGGTCGTACGTGTTGATACATAGTTGCCAAGATCGGAGTTATTTGTATCTTCTTGCTATGGGTTGGAACATCGTTTACCAGTTTCGGAAAGCTCAGAGCGAAATCGATCGGTATTTGAAGATCATACCCCTCATTACACTTGTCGACAATGCTCGTGTTCGGGTAAATTTGTATTACTTTTTGTGACTTGATATATGAATTTATTTGATAATTGTTACTATTTTTCTATTGCACTCACATTTTGCTTCATATAAATGTTGATATACAGGTAAACCTTTATAAATTAATACAGTCGGGACTAGCGAAATTCTACTAATTTAGCGAAATACTAAATTATCGAATTAGTATTTTAGCACATTGTCACCGAGTCGGGACCTGGAGAATTTATTATTTAAGCGAGGTTATTAATTTATTGAGGTTCTACTGTAATTGGTTAGTCACATTGAAAAATTAGTAACTCGAGACGTATGATTTTTTGGTTTTTTTCTTGGTTGTATAATTTGTGGTAATTCATAATTATTTTATAGGCCAAATTACGACGAGGCCTCTGAGATAAGGTTAAATTACGAAAAACCCTTTCTATTTGAGTAATTACAACCACCCCTCAACTATATATTGTCTTATGAAAAAACTAATTGGACTTCGTAAGGGTTGACGTGTAAGATGATAGATACATAGTTGAGAGGAATGGTTGTAATTACCCAAACAAGAGTGAAGTTTTCGTAATTTGACCTTACCTCAGAGGCCTGGCTGTAATATGCCATATTTTTTAAGTTGCTGGTTCCTTACATATATTTTACCTAACATTTTTCTGGTGCACAAGTGTAATTGTGACTGAGAATCCACCTGCAGTTGAGATGTCGGTTTGAGAACATCGGGTCAATGTTTTTTTACGGCACCTATTTTCAGAAACCCTTAGGCCTTGTTTGGGAATGTTGTTGGGATTGATAACAAATATTTAACTGGTTAGTACTTATTCAATTATGACTATTTTCAGGAACGATTTGAAATGATCGAAAGAGACCAGCGTGAGTATACATTGGACGAGGAGGACAAAAAAGTGCAAGAAATGATTCTCAAGCGCGAGCCTTCTCAACACGACACGATTATATTGAAAAAAACGCTTTCTTGTTCGTATCCAAACATGCCAATAAAAAAGGCCATACAAAAGGAAAACGAGAAGCTTCATTTGGAGCTGCAGCACTCACAGGCTAATTTGGACGTTCGTCAGTGTGAAGTGATTCAGCATCTGCTCGAAGTTACGGAAGCTGTTGCATCAAATTCTTCATTGTCTGAAAAAAGTTCGCATGTTAAAGAATCCAAGGTGGAGCATCTTTACGTAGACGTCAAAACTGAAAACAGAGACTTCGATAAGAACTACACTAAGAACAGTCAAAAGCATGCAGCTTCACGGTATGACATATTTATTTAATTATTTTTTTATAGGGTAAATTACAGTCACCCCCTGAGGTAAGGTCAAATTACAAAAAACCCCCTTTTGTTTGGGTAATTACAATCACCCCCCTCAACTATGAATTTTCTTACACGTCCACCCTTGCGGTGTCAAATTTAGTGGAATCTTCTAGATTATGTGAAATATTCTGTAGTGTATACCCGTTTTACCCCATTCGAGCTCCACATTTTGAAACAAGATGATCATAAAATGTGTCTTCTTGGCTTGTATATATCAGATTGTCGTGTTAGATATTGCATTTTTTGCATAAAACGAGACAAACTATAGAACATTTCACGGAATCTAGAAGATTATGTTGAATTTAATACCATAAGGGTGGACGTGTAAGAAAATTCACAGTTGAGGGGGGTGGGTGTAATTATCCAAACATGAAGGGTTTTTTCGTAATTCGACCATACCTCAGGGAGGTGACCGTAATTTACCCTTTTTTTTATAACATTATTCTTCACTTTTGATGTACTTATAATTCTGCTAGTTTTCTTTACAGGAGCACGTCTTCGGTTTCATCGAGACGTGATTTGCTGGCATCGGACGTTTCGGAGGATGAGTGGCATTCAGATTTACTTGGCTGCTGTGCAGAACCTCTTCTGTGTATGTCCCTACATTTTTATTTTTCTTTCGTGTGTCAATTAATTTTTTTGTTTTTTGCTTTCGTAGAATTTAATCGGTTGCATCAATTAATTTAGTTAAACATCACCAACCTAATTAATAATACTAAATAATTGATTAAAAATCAACTATAAAAACCGCGTGTCGGTTGTTCTTTCTTGATTTCATGTTTCCTTACTTTACGTTATTGTCTCGTGCACACGAGTTACTAGATAACCACTAACAGAATATACTGTTACTTTACATATGCCGATTTATCGGCGAGAGCTACGTACTCTCTTGGTTTGGTTTTGAGTTTTTCGGCGGGTTTTAATTGATGGATGTATACAATTTGCAGGCATAAAGACCTCGTTTTTCCCATGTGGCACATTTTCCAGAATTGCTTCAGCGGCAAATAGTAGAGACATCTGTAAGTGGCTTTTTCGATATTTTAAAACTATAATTTCAAGAAATATATATTTGATCGTAAATGCCAGACAAACTTATAAGGTATAGTAATTCACATCATCGTATTCTTGTCGTTTGTAGCTCCGGCAGAATCTTGCAACGATTTGATGGCTTATTCTTTGATACTTTCCTGCTGCTGCTACACTTGTTGCATCAGAACCAAACTCCGCAAAATGCTAAACATCAAGGTAATCCATCGATCTCTCTATAATATATTCCGATCCTCAAAAAAAAAAATTTTAAAAATTGCAACGTATAAAAATATTTGTGATTGTTAGAATCAAAATTGGATTAAAATTTGTCTCTTTTTAATTCTGTTTCTACGAATTGTTCCAACACTTTACGCAATAGTAACGAAAAAACTGAATCTGACACAAAAAATTAATATTTGCACGAAATAAATCTAACAGTGATTATTTTCTATTTTCTAGCTAAACACGCCCACGTGCATAATTTTGTTTGGGCATGCATAATAAGATTTTGTGGATACATCTTATTAATGCAGGGAGGCTTGTTCGACGATTTTCTTTCACACCTCATGTGTTGTTGTTGTGCCCTTGTCCAAGAATGGCGAGAAGTCGAGATTCGTCAAGTCAAAGGTAACCAATCTCTTAATTCATCATTATCTTTATTTAATACGACGTATGTAAATTACATCGTTTTTATATGAGGGGATGTAATCGACAAGCTTCAAATGTTTGTGATTCCGATTTTTAATTTTTTGCAGGTGGTCTGAAAATAACGACTCCTCCGACTATCCAATATATAGAATATTGAATCGATAGATTGCACATATATGTATGTATGTATGTATGTATGTATGTATGCATTAAAGAACCTTATGTACAGGTAAAAATGGTTTGTAGCCAAATCAAAACTATTTTGGGACTTTGTTTCGAGACTTGAAAATGACTCCACCATTTTTATAACATGTCATATACTCCCTTCGTTCCTTAATAAGTGTATTTTTTCAATTTTCACAAGGATTAAGACACTCAATAAATGTGTTTTGATTTCATGGTAAACATATACAAATGACTAAAACAACCTTTATTAGTTAATCTATATATAATATAAAAAGAGGATCTATGCATCAATGATTGACATGTGGCAAATGATGATCTTATTAATCAAAATTGCTTAGTTGGAGTTCAATTGATGAGGTGGATTCTTCAATTAGTGAGTTGTCAATTTTATTTTGGTATGTATTTAAGTTATTTCCTATTTAATATTTATACACTAATTTAAACAATTACCACATGTATATATATATTATTTCCAAAGTTAATATTTTATAAATTCGAAATAAAGAAAATCTTATTTATATTTTCAGTATTTTAAAATGCATTTATTGAAAAAATTCATGATACTCAATTTTTTTATGAATATTCAAATAATTTCAGAAAAAAACATTTTTTTAATATTAAAATATTAAAATAAAGGAATACAATTGTTTTTTTTTTTCTTCGAATTTTCAATATTTTGGAATATTCGAATATCTATTCAATTAAAAACAATTAAAAAAATGTTTTATTTTAATTGTACTATTTAATAAATATACAATATTTTTTGTATATAACTTCTATTATATAGTATTTCAAATTATCTATTATACCGTATTTCAAATTATTCTATTATACCGTATTTCAAATTAAAAATAATTGTACTATTTAATAAATATACAATATTTTGAAATTTTAAATTTTAACAATTTCTATTATATCGTATTTCAAATTATAAATACAGTATATTTCAAATTATAAATAAAGTATACATAAAATAATTGTCAAAGAATGTATCAATTATACCTAATTTCTATTACTGCGTATAATCTTTGTCTAATCATTTCTTACATATTTAAGAATGAATGACTAATTTATGTAAAATATCTAATCACCAATAAAAAAGTTTCTTCAATATTGCAAGATTCTTGCATATCATATTTGATTGAGTTAGTTTACTCTTTAATTCAAAATTCAATGATAAAAAAATTTAACTGAATTTATTAATTTTTAAATACGGTATAATATAAATAGCAAGATAGTAAAATTAAGTTTTTATATATAATTAATCCGATTTTTTTTAATATTCAAATAGTTTTAAAATAATACATTCATTTTCTTTGTTCAATATTGAATATCTGATTAAACATTCAATAAATTATATTTGTTTAACTTATAATATTTATATATTTTTAAATTTACATTATATATTTTTTTTTAAAAAATTTATATGATTGCATTTTATTAATACATTATTATATTTTATAAATATAATATTATTGTTCTTATATTCATTTCAAATAACATAATCAAATGAAATGTAATATCCGATTTTGTCAACCATTTCTATTTTAAGATCTCATATATCAAATCAATTTTCAAATCTTGTAAATAATACTCAATCATAGAATATTGTGGAGGTAAATCATTAATGCATATCAATATGCATTGATGATAATTAAAATTTATATACGGAAATAAGACTTTTTTTAACTATTTAAATTAGATGGCAGTTATTTAATTACGTTCATTTATGTTAAACATATCAATTTTATATATACAAATCTATATACATTCGGTTATATTTATTCTACACACTTTTTTTGTATAGTGAAAGAATGTTGACCATATGTATACACGGTTATGATTTATTGATGTTTTAGAAAAAAAAATTGGATATGGTAATATATTTCAAAATTCAAATTCAAAAACCAAATCTTGAAAATCCTTATTAAAGTATCTCTTGCAATTTTCCTCATGTTTTCTCTTGAGTAGCGTATGCATAGAAAATATTTACTAAAGGAATTCTAATCTACCATTAAGAGGGTGTTTGGCTAAGCTTATAAGATGTTAAAAAGAGCTTATAAGATGTTTTAGAGCTTATAAGCTCTTCCAAAGTGTTTGGTAATTTTTTAGAAAAAAATCTTAATTTTTTTTTAAAATAAGCTGTTGGAGAGTAAATAAGATCTTTTTAAAAAAGTACCTATACCCCACCTTTTTATTTAAGATATTATTATGAGTAAAAATAGGAAATAAGTTCATTATCCAAACACTTAAAAAATAATCCTAAAAATAAGACATAACAACTTATCAGCTCTTAAAACATCTTATCAGACGTATGAGCTTATCAGCTGTTTAAAATAATCTTAGCCAAACACCAGCTAATAGTCAAATGAAAAAGGGAGTAAGAAAATGAAGAAAAAAAGAAAATGAAAATAACAAATTGATGATCTCATTTCTTATCCCACATTTGGATGGAAACTTTACAACTTTAATTCCACAAATTCACATGCAATTCCTGATATTAATTTTCTTCCATAAATAGCAATCTAGCAAGTTTTAATTCCATATTTAATTACACGATTTACCTTCAAATTGTCACTACAAAATAACGTATAATTCACATATTACTCTGTAATCAATCAATAATAAAAGAAAAAAACCCGGCTCATTAATTACAAGATTATAATATATCAATAATAATAATTTCTTTTCTTAATTTAAATATACTCAAAAAATCTCTTACATCACATCCCAAACATTATAAATATGCCATTTTTTTTCATTCATTTTTTTCGCAATCATAACATTACATTGTTAACAAGTTCTTTCATTTTTTCTTTGTTTTAATCATCTCTGGTCGCCTTTTTTCTTCTGTTTTTTGTATTAACAAGACAAAATCAATTATACTGATATTAATTTTGTTTATTTTATTACTTATTTTGATATTCGTTTACATTTTATTATAATGTTATTCTTACATTATACATGTAAACCGTAATATATTGTTTTATTTTAATGGTAAATCATTAATATATGTTAATGTTTGATCGTAGTTGTGTTCTACTATTGACTCAAAATAGTTTTACATTGTAGATTTATAAGATGACATTTCACAAGGAAATTCTTCCGGTTGGTGAAGGACGATCACTGATTGATGGTTTCAACATGCTCGATTCAACTCGATTGAAATATTATCGGACGAATCACAAAGATTTAAATGATGAACTATATAAATGGTTATTAGAAGCAACATTGAGTGGAGAATCTAATCAAACCAAAACGGTGAAACGTGTCGTATTGCCTATGTCTTTTATCGGGGGATCGCGTAGTAAGTTTTTCAAATAATTAGGATGTAATATCTTTTAGAAGTTGTCATTTTAAACATTATATTCTACTGTAATCTGTCATTTTTAATTTATAGTGAAACAAATCATTTAATTATGTATTGTTCTTACAAAATATGTCTATATTTTCTGTATATTTATTCGATACCATATTGCCTTTTTTTTGTTTTGTACAGTGTTCTAAATAGCGGTCGTGGCGGTCGATATATCCGCCGCCATATCGGTATCGGTTATAAACCTTTACGATTTTGTTGAGGCGGTTTGGAATATCGGTTTTTTACTGCGAGGCGGTTTGCGGCGGTTTTTTGGCGGGTCAAACCGATATATCGGTCAACAAATCGGTTTTTTTTTTTTTTTAAATTCAAATTAAAATGAAAATATGTTTTGTTTTTTTGTTTTTTCTCCAATTCTTTCAACTTCCAAAACCAGACCAAGTATACCCCGCAATTTATGCTT